ACGGACCGCGGGGAAAACCGAGCTCCTGCTCCCTGCCGCCGCCGTTCCTGCCCCCACAGCCTTCCGTAAACCGCGCAAGTTTTCGTGGCCCAACTTGGGGCGCGCAGAACAGCCCGGGGAAACACCGGAGCTTTCTCGCACCTCGCCGTTCTGGGAAGTCCCTGCCCCGCGCCTGGGTCGACCCTACGCGCGCCCAGCCCAGACCCCGACACTTACAAAGGCTCTTGAAGCCTCGGTCCTTGCGGAGCCCGCCTCGCCGACTATGGACACCTCCAATCCCCACCAGAGCCACGGATCCATTTCCCCTAAAATTGTCCCCACCCCCCCCCCACCCCCGGGCCGGCTCACCCGGTTCCCTCTCCTGCCGCCGATTCGGGCAGTAGATTTCTCGCAGCTTCCTCTTCATCTGACCTTTTTCTGCCGGTTCTCCCCTCTCACCTGACTTGCTCACCCGCATCCGCAGACATTCCTGTTGCTCCCCTCCCCGGAAAACTCTCCTTTCCCCCCCGAACCAATTCTCCTATATTATTTAAACTCATTATTCCTATTATTATTATTACTACTATTACTATTACTATTATTCGCCGTTCTTACGCATTTGTTTCCCCACCGAACACAGAAAATGGGTGGATGAGAAGCGCTGAGCCCTCCTCCTGGGGGAAATTCAGAAAATTGACCATTTGAGGAGAGGGGGGCAATACGAGCACATCTGAAATCTATAAAATGGGGGAAACAGCCATAATGAACCTTCTATTTTTATTACGCGCAAATTATTCATGACTTCTGGTAGCGCTCAGTTCGTAGATTCAGGGCCGACTAAGGTGCGACATGCAGCCGCCAGCACCCGCAGCCGCCGCACCGGGGATTTTCGCGTGGAGCAAGGCTGCCATCTAGCGGCCTTCCTGTGAAAAGGCGCCGTCACCCCCGACTCCTCCGGCTCCTCCGCGAGCCAGCCAGCCACCCAGGCGACGAGCGGGGAGAAACTTTGATTATTGGCAGAGAAGGGGGAGGAAGACAAGAACAGGCGAGAGAAAAGGCATCAGAAATCAGGAAATGGTTCATAAAATCGTGAAGATAAGCTAAAAAAAAATAGGTTGAGGGCGTGGGGAGGGAAAAAAAAGGCCTAAGCTTTTCTCTTTCCTGCTCCCCATTTCCAGACCCGAAGTTCTGGCGGAGACCGCCAAGCAGGGCGCTGTTTATGGCCCGTAAAAGGGGGAGCTGAGCACTTTTCAAACGAACACGATTGTTTCAAATCCTGAGGAGAAACAATTGGGCTTTTTTTGGGGGGGGGGGGGGGAGGCCGGAGAGGGTGGAATGGGATTGTAAAAGGATCAAGAGGTTGCCCGCGCCCAGACGTCTGGCCCCGCCGGACCTGTGTGTGTGTGCGTGTGTGCGTGCGTGTGTGTGTGTGTGTGTGTGTGTGTACAGGGGCTTCTTTATGACGTCCGATTCTAGAGGGGGTGTGAAGAACAAAGACAGGAGCCCCAGTTGCGTTCCCTAAAGCATTTGCGACAACAAAGTGTTTCCCCCCCCCTTCCCTTTTCTCCCCTTTTTGCCCCCGGGGCCCCGGAAACCCCAAGCCCAGTTACTGGACGTTCAAGGCGGGGGCTGCGGACCCCCTCCCCACCCCGCCCCGGGCCCGAGCCCAGACCCAGCTGCGGCTCTCTCAGGCCCGGAAAGTTCCCCTCACTGTTTGCTTTGCTGCTGTTTAGTTTCTTAACCTTCAGAAATTTATACGCTATAAACTTTTATAGCGGTCATATTCTTTTATTGCTGCGCACACGGCATTGAATTCCTCTCCCGGCTTCTCTGTCTCGCACTCTCTCGGTCTTCCTCTCTGAATATCTCGCTCTCTTTTATGACAACAGATTTCCGCATCTCCGGCTTCCCAGCCTCCGCATCTTCGCCTTTGTTTGTCTTTAAAGAAGCCACCACGGCTAAGGACCCAGACGCGGCTGGAGGCTTTTCCCGCGCCCTCACCCCCTACCCTGCAGCGCTGCGTCTGGTCCCAGCCTCGTTTTGTGGCGTTTCCTCTGGGCCGAACCCGGCCTTCTCGGCCATTCGCAACCCCAGCTGGCTCCGGGGAGCCCAGGATGAGGAGGAAGCCTAGCCTACACGGGCTCTAAAGCCAGACTCATTTTCTATCCCGAATGGAACCCTTGGAGAACGCGGGTGCCAGGCCCTGCCATATCGCGGAGCTTCACTTTCTCCTGCCTCCTGCCCTGTCTGATTAGTACATCCTTTTGTTCGCTGGAGAGGGGCAGGCCTGGTCTTTTCACTTCCAGGATCCTTCCATTCAGGTTATAGTTTGTGCTTTGTCCCTACCTCTACCCAGACCCTTAAGGTCCTTGCAGGTTGCCCTGGGGTGGCAGGGTGGTGGTGGGGGAGGCTCCAGCGGGAGGCGCCAGCCCAGCAGACGCCAGACCCCAAAGCCTGGATGCAAAAGGCAGAGCTGCCCGAGACTGGCCGTCTTCAAAGGGGCTCTGGTGGGGACACCATAATCTGAGAGGGACAGAAAGGTGCCTCTCCCAACAGAATCTAGTTCTGGGGTCCCATTGGACAGGGCATTTTCTCCTCAGACAGTTCCATCCCACATTCAATCCTCTCTTTCTGTCTTTTCGAGCTGCCTTCCCCAGCCTCCACCCCCACCAACCTCTACCCGCTTGAAACCAAGGCAGCTACCTTTGGCTCACATCAGAGCCTCAGCTCCCAGGTGGGGCTCCCTTTGAGTGGAAGAAAGGAGAGCTCAGCCTTCCGGAGGCCTCTGCCTACCCAGGTGCCCTGCTGCAGGGAATAGCAGGAAAAAGTTACTGCCTTCCTTCCTTGCACGATATTTTAAAGTGGCCAAACCAAGGTGACATTCTCAACCCGCTGAGAGAGTAGCTGCTTTCAGGGGCTGCAGGGCCAGCCCTGCCTTCGCCCAGACTCTGGAGTTTGTGGGGGGATCCCCAGTGCAACTTTGGAAGAAGCAAAATCAGACTCCCGGCCTAACCGCTCACCCTCCCTTCCCTCTCCCTGCAGTCTCCGGCTTTCCTGAAGGAGGACTGCTCAGTTTAAGCAGTGGTCCTGGGGCCTTGGCTCCAGAGCAGCTTCCAGCCCCACCAGGAAGCCTGCTCTGCAAGGTCTAAGGGGAAGCTTCTTGGGCACAGGGGTCTCTCTCTTTTTTTCTAAATGACCCTCTTGGAACTAGGATCTCTACCACCGGCTAGGCGAGGAGAGCCCACACGGACGGAATAAGACACGCGAGAGATTTGTTTTCTAGACTGATATATATTTTTGTTGTTTTTCTTGGTTTTTTTCTTCCAAAAACAATCAGAGCTCTAGGCCCCTTACCCTCCCCACTCCCACCCACCACCCTCCTATATAAGCAACAACTGAAGACAGGCGAGACAATCACCCCCAAAGAAATCACAAAACACAGCACAATTTCACGACAGCCACCGACAAAGCCAAAAAGTTCTACTGGAATGTCCCCTTGCAGGCGCGGGAGACGCAGAAGCAAGAGTCCATGGAATTGAAAGGGATTGGAGACGCAGGGAGCAGGGGGCGGAAGGGAAGCAGAGGGTAGGCTTCGGCCTGAAGGTTAGGTGCGATTCCGCCTCTTTCCTTTGCACGCGGGACTGTTCCCCAGAAGCGTGCGCTCGGCAGCCGCGCAGATCGCCATCCAGGCCCGTGTCGCCAGAAGCAAAGATCGGCGCTGGGGAACGGTCTCGTTCTGCGCTGGGGCGGACAGCCGCCAAGCCAGGGGTTCCTCCGGACGTGGGCAGGGCGGGGAGGAACACGCCTAACGCCACTCGCTGGAGGCTTTGCTCTCCCTGTTCCCCGTAACTTACCCGGGAAGGGAGCTCGGGCATCGATTCTCAATAAATTCTCCATGGGGCTCTGCCGCCCTGGCTTTCCTGCCTATGGCGGGGCTGACCTAGCAGGGGATGGAGGGTGGAGGGGTTTTCTACAAGGGGCGGCTTGACTCGCTGGTGCAAGGTGGATCTGACCAAACAGAGAGGATTTCAGAGCTGGGAGGATGCGGAAGAATGCAGGGACCGGTGGAGAGCAAGAGAAGCGACAGTCTCAGTCAAGCAGGGCACGGATGAACAGATGGGCAACATTGTCAAGGCTTACGACCCACAATTTGACCTCCTTTTGTTGGAAGGAGAGGAAAACAACATGCAGAATTAAACATTTCCTGCAACAAAATGTGTGTGTGGAATACCTTCATAAAACCTCAGATACCTTCATAAGACCACCGGGACCTTTCCTTGCCCTGTCCAGCCCACCCGCTTGGGGCTGAGTCTATCCCCTTTGCCCTGTCTAGCGCACCCGCTTGGGGGCTGGGGTAGGGCAGGGTAGAGCTGAGGGTTCCGTGGGGGTGGTATTGTGATAGTCAGCCCTTTGGGCTGCAGTGCCTCATTCAGGGGTGTATCTCCAGACATCTTGCTGTGTATTGGCATCGGCAAAAGAATCTTGCCTGATGGTCTGCTGGCTGTTCTAACAGATTTGAGGTGCACTTGGGAGGTCACCTCATTCGAGTGTTGGCTGTGAGCTTTCCCCTTGATTACTGTGGGCTCCAGGCTGTGTGCATGCGGGTGTCTGTTGGACTGTGTGCGGTTGGTGTCCCTTGGTGACTTTGGGATAGGTGTAGGGGGAAACAGGCAGGCCGGAAGCCAGGGGCTGGGGCTTCCCAGAAGAATTATAGGGGATTGCTAGGGGCTGACTAGGATCTTTCTTTTCTTCTGGCCCACCCCCTTCTTAGGAGCCAACTACATCTACCTTCTAAATTAACCAAACTTTCTCCTGAGGTCCGGGGAGAAGAGGGCTGGTCAGAGCAAAGGAAAGGAGAGAGGCTCTAGATTGCGGGAAAGGACTTTGAAGAGAAAGACTCCCTTCCCCACTCACTTGAACATATCCCAGACAGCACTGGCTTTGCAGCCATCACTTATAAATAAGCGTGAGATGGGAAAGGGGTGGGAAGTGTGTGTGCGTGGGGGGGGGGGGAGGAATCTTTACTCTTTGCCCTGTTCCTTATTCATTTTCTTCATTTTCATCCGACGGTTCTGAAACCAGATTTTGACTTGTCTCTCACTCAGATTGAGGAGTCTGGCCACTTCGTGCCTACGGTCCCTGGTGAGGTACATATTGAACAGAAACTCCTTCTCTAGCTCCAGCGTCTGGTATTTGGTGTAGGGACAGCGCTTTTTCCGGGAAGAGCGAGCGTGCAGCCAGTTGGCAGAAGGGTTGGCTGAAAGAGAAGCAGCGATAGAATCAAAAGAAAGGAAGAGGGGGATGAAGGGCCCTCCAGTTCTCCTTCCAAGAGGGCACACCCCTGGTTTCCACTTCCCATCTTGCATTCGAGAAAGGGGCACCTGGGCCTTCAAGTTCCCAGGAGGGGTCCCAGCAATGGGCCATGAGTTGCTATGGACATCTCCAGGTGAGAGGTTTTCTGGACAGCAGGGAGCCGACCATGTGCCAGGCTGCTCAGCACTTCCAAAGCTTTGCCTGCCTCAGGTCCTCTGTCAGTCTCTTCCTACACTTGTGTCCAAAATGGTTAGGACTCAGGTCAGAGCTCAGCATGGAGCGAGGGGTGGCTAACCTGGAGGGCCCTGGCTCTGGGTCTGGGAGGCGAGGGAAGGGTGGGGCTGGGGCAGAGCAGCTTCTCTTCAGCCACAGCCAAGAGACCTCTCCGCCCTTCAGTTCAGTCCCAGAACACTGTGCTTTGGTCACAAGCTCGAGTCTCTTGGCCACATGGCAGCAGGCATGTGTGTCTGTGTAGACATCTCACCCCCCACCACCGCACACCACAAACATGGGTCCACACTTAAGAGACACAAACATCCAGCACACTCCAACTCACAAGGACCCCAATTGCAACCATTTATCACCTCCAGCTTGTGGACAAGGGAGTGCCAGGGGCTCACAGATAACTTATGGTTGCAACAGTCTTTTCTTTTCCGCTCCTGCTCAGCTCACAGTTTGGTTAAAGCAAGTTCAGGGATATTGGGAAGCGAGATTGTTCCAGTGCCATTGTGGGGAGCCATGGCTAATGTGGGGGCAACAGAAAGCCATTCACAGCACACCTAACTCCAACTGGCTCCATGTGGTGAAGGGGAACAGAGAAAAGGGTAATTGAGTAGAGGTGGGGGGGGAGAGGAAATAAAAATATGTACAGGCTTCTCTTCTCCTTACTTTCTCTCTTCCTACCCTGGAACTCGGAAAAGTTGCCAAATAAAGCAGAGCTATTAAAAATAATAGCCACCCTCTGCTAGATTCCTTCTCTCCAAATAAAAAAAAAAGCACTGAATATATTATTTTAAAAATAATCTGGTTCATCCTACACTAAGTACCATGTCTCACCAAATTGCAGCGCTATTTCCTTAATGTGATTGCCTGCGATGGGACCCACATTCGCATTAAATATGAAAGAGGAAAAAAAACTGTTAATAATTGATTCTAACCAAACTGCTGCCTTGCAATAATGGGTTTTCCAGGCAGTTTGGGGTTTGGGGGATGAGGGGGTCTGTTTGGGTGTGAGCAGGGAGGGTTTGGGAAGAATCAGTGTTATACTCAAATGCCAGCTCTTATTATTCACCCTGGCTGGTGGGACCCCACGGGGACCTCAGGGGATTGGGGCAGCAGGGACGCCCCAAAGGGCCTGTGCGCCACTCTGTTGGTGGGCAGCCTGGCCAGGCAAGCAGAGAGTAAAAACATCTGATCCCCACTCTCCAAGAAGAGTAAGTATGAAGTGAGGACTTGTCCCCAAAAGCCTGAGGGTTACTGGTTGCGGTTAAGAGCCCCTAACCAATGTGCTCTTTTCAACCTTGAAAACAAAAATAGACGAGACTCACCACCACCACCCTCAGCCAGTAGCACCTCCAGGAAATCAGCCAGACCTGGGTTCCTGGCGGAGGTACTTATGGGGGAGTGGGAGATGATGAGAAACTACCATCGGAGGGTACCGTTCTCCACCTCTCCGCAAGCCCCTTTCCCCCATCCTTCTTCTCCCCAGGGTCCCTTTGGGATCCCTCCTTCTCCCCTCTGGCGGTCGGCCCCAAAGTTCGGAAGCGATTCCCGACTCCCTGCGAGGCGGACAGCACCGGCTGGGGCTAGGGAGCCCCGTGGAGAGCAGCGGGGAGCTGCAGAAAAGGAAGCCGCAGCCCAGGAGTGGATGCCAAGGAGGGGAGGAGGAGGCCGAGGGAAGGCTCCGGGGAGGGGCCGGCGCATCCGGGGAGGGGGCTCAGTCACCGGTTCCTGGGCTTCCCCGCCCCTCCGGGCGCCGGCTGCAGACCCGAAGCCGCTACTGCGCGAGATCTGCTAGGCTCAATCCTCCGCCAAGCTGTTGCATCGCAAATAAAATCCTAATGAGCCCCCTCCCACTTCCCCTTGGCCGGCTTTTACGGTCTGCGCGTGGCGCGGGGAGCTCTGCCAGCCGCGCGGGCCCGGGCAGCCCCGTGCGCTCCCGCCCTTGCCCGCGCGGGCACTCCGCCTCGCTGGCTGCCTCCCCGGCCCCGCCGGCTCCTCTCCCGGCCGGCCATCGCCAGCCTCTTCCCGAGCTCTCAGCCAGGTCTCCGGGAGTGTGGGGGAAGGGAGGCCCAGAGAGCAGCGAGTCGTTCCCTGCGCCCCAGTTCCCTCCAGGACTTGGCGTAGTGGGGGCGTCGCTCCTCGCGCGGCCGCGGGCTCCCTTCGGGGCACCCAGCTTGCTTCCTTCCTTCCGCCCTCTTCCCTCCTCCCCGCTCGCTCCCCGGCCACCGCCGCGGTTTCCCTTCACATTGTCCGCAGTTTATTGCCTCTGCCCTCCCCTCCCCCTCGCCTGGCCTTCGGCCTGGGTATTCCTCACTTTTTATAACTTACTTTGATCCGGCCTCTCTTTGTCCTCGCTTCCTTCGCAAATTTTATTGTCCCCGTAGCTGGGTCTTTGATTAGACAGGACGGCCTCCCTGCCCGCCGAAGTTTCCAAACTGTACTCGGGCGTGCCCTGTTTGAGCAGCTCCCCCGGCGCGCCCAGCAGCGGCTCCGCCTTCACCGCCGCCGGGCCCTGCCCCGGAGCCGCTTCGCCGCGCGGCGCCGGCTCCAGCCAGGTGCGGAGGTACCTGCTCTCAGCCGGCGGGACGCCCTGGGGCTGGATGTAGGGGTGGTAGACGGACGGCAGGCTTCCGGACGCGTGCGGGCTCAGCGGCGCCCAGGAGGCGCCGAACACCGGCGCTTTGGGCTGGAAGCTGCACGAGGGGAACTCCAGGTGCTCCGCGTGGCCCGGCTGCCGGGGGCTCGCGTACTGGCCGGAAGGAAACTTGGCTGGAGGCGCGTCCTCACTCTCGTGACTTATGATCGAGTCGACATAATAGCTGCTAAGCGTCCCAGAAATGGACATTCTCAGACATTATCCGGGCGCTCGCAGGGGGAAGGGAAGCGCTCGCGCGGCGGCGCCCAAGCAGGGAGAGGTGGCACCCAAACCGGTGTGAGGGCTTTCGGACGCGACCCCCCCAGCCCCCCACCCTCCCACCCCCACCCCCTGCTCAACTTCTCAGCCAACAAAGTACAGTGGAGCAGCCCGGCTCAGCGCTCCTTGCAAAATGATTGGTCAAAGTTTTTCCGACTGCCTGATAAAGCGTCAGCTCCGACATAAATCAATCCGGCTAGGGGGCTGCGCTCTCTCTGTCATCCGTCCGCACCGCATTCCATATCGAGGATGGATTGTTTTATGCTGATGCAATGTGCTATCACGTCAGGGCTCGGGCGGCCACGTAACCTCAGCCCGAGCAGCCGGCCTCCCGGTCCCCCCGCCTTTTGCAGGAAGGGGGGCTAGTTCTCGACGTGGGGCGGCGGGGGCGGAGGAGAGGCGGAGGGAAAGCAGCAGGCTGCCTCTGGAGGGACGCGGGCTGCGGAGCCCTCTCCCCGGGCGGGCTTGGGAGGGAGAGAGCCCCAGCCTGAGAGCAGCCAGAGGGGCCCACTGCATAATTAAAGAGGAAGTGGTCCTGTCCCCCCGCCCCAACACACACCTCTACTCCACCCCGCAGGCCCTCGTTTCCTCTTTTCTGTCCCCTTGACACAAAATGTTTATTAAACAACTGTGCAGCAGCAATCCACCGGCAGTGATGGGGGAGAGAAGTTAGGAATTTTTGACACGTTATCCTTTTTTTTTGGAGGGGGCTCTCTGTGACTATTTGGAGAGGGCTGAGGGCCTGGGATCTTCTCCCGACCCCTCAGTAGCTGAGAGAGGAGAGGGGGAAAGAAGGGGATGAATGTCCAGAACTCTTGTCCTAAAATTTAGCTCTCCTAAAATTAGAACTTGCCTGAGTTTGAAGGGCTTCATCAGGCCCTGCAAAGTTGAGCCTCTGAGTTTAATACAACCAGCCACCCCTCCTTCATATTTCTTGGGCCTCTCTCTGGCCCAGGCCAAAGGGAAGTATGGGGTGAGGGGGGCACAGCCATTTCTCCTTTCCTCCACTGAATAGCAGGCCAGGCCCTTAGAACTGCCCAGATGGGGGAGCTGAACGTGACAAAGGATTAAGGGAACTTCCCCTAAGGTGTCAGTGGAGCAGAGGTGTGGGGAGGGCTCCAGAGTTACCTCCTCTTCCACCCAGCGAGGACGGAGCCTTTCACCTCTCTCGTTCCGCTCCTTTCACCTGACTTTGTCGCCCTGAAAGAGTCCCAAACACCGGTGCTGGGCACCAGCACAGACAGTGAGCCTGCGGGGTCAGCCTCCTGCTCATCCACCGCCTTCCCCCCCTGCCACTCTCTCGGCTCTGACTCTCGCTGGCGCTTCCAAATCCCGTGTTTTGTTGTTATCAATTCTTCGGGCCTTGGGCTGGGACCCGCCCCCCCACCCCACCCCAGCCCCTGGCTGGCTTCCTGGCCCCTCGACCATCCAGCCTCTGCTCTTCCCGTGTCTGCCCTGGGTGCAGGCACTTCTTGTGGTGTGGGCGCTCAGGGAGGGTGGCCCCTGGGCAGACCCGATTCTCCGCGGGTCGTGTTTGGGGGCAGGCTGGGGCCGATTTTCTCGGCATTCTCCGACTCTGGGTTCTTGTAAAATAGGCTGTCCCCAGCCCCATTCCTTTAACAAAAGCAGAGCCATTCTAATTTGAGGTTTTATCTCTTTGGCCATTTACCCCTCTGCCGTGCAGAAGGCTGCGGATCACCTCCGCACACGCACACCCTCCCGCCCGCTCTTCTTTCCAAATGAAGCCATCTCGTGTCATTACGTGTGAAATACGAGGGCGAAGCGCCATATTTCTTCACATTATGGCGATTTCAAAATGATTTTTTAAAGATCAATGCAGGCGCCCAGCTGCCCCCCTCCTTCCCCACCCCAGCTCTCCGAGGGCGACAGCCCAGCAGATCCAGAACTGAACAGCGGGCAGATCCGGGACTGAACAGCTGGAAGATCTGTTTTTTCCATGGGACTCAAGTGCAGAGACAAAAAAGACAAAAAAAAAAAAAAAAACCCAACCCCAAAACAAACAAACATGCAAATTCTTCTAAGTAGCGGTAGGATGCTTGGGAAAAGTCCTGGGAGCTACTGGACTCGCCAGGGAGAAAGCTGGGCACAGTGTGAATGAATCAGTTGTAAGGCAAAGCACCTGTTCTCAATTTGCCAGATGTATGGAGCCTGCCGTTGGCTTTACCTGTAATAAATATATTCTTCAGGAAAAAGATCTCTCCCACCATAAATAACGGTGTTATGAAGCATGGCGGGCTGAGTATATGGCTTTCTGCAATATATAAATTAGGGTCCAAAAGGACATGCGGACTATGGGCAGGGACTTTTTTAATTTATGGCAAAGCCACAGCGCTAGGTTGTTCTTAAGACCCAGGCTGTGCGGGCACTGAACTCTGACTACAGCCCTCTGGTTGCCATTCCCCTCCCTGGATTTGTCGCTCAAGAGAGAAGTCAAGAGGGCCACTGAGTTTAGGGGAAAAGTTAGAGGAAGGAGAGCGTTGGGGTCATGGCTCCTGCCCTACAAGGGTGGAGAGGCCCAGCAGGCAGGGTCCAGGCTGTGCGCTCCTGCCTGTCTGGGGAGTTGCCCCAACCCCTGGTTGCTCCTGGGTGTTGAATAAGTAGGGGACCCAGACCTCTTTTCTGAGGCCAGAGCTTAGCCTTAGCTCACAAAGCAGCTGGAGGATGGGACCAATTTCAAAATGACAGGCTTTGAGGGTCTCAGTCTTCTCAGGAGAGGTGACTCTGAAAGGAAAAGAACGAGCTGGCACTAGGCCCTGGGGTCTTGCACCACAGCCCACCTCCCTCCAGGTGGGGACTCTCCGCGCCAAGCAATGAGTCCCACGCAGACAGGCTTTTCTAGAAAGCACTGTGGCTCCAAATTGGAGCGCAACTCCAGTTCAGGCAAATGATTAAATGGTTGGCTGAGAAGGAGTCCCTTGTTTGGGTGTTCTGAGGGCCTGTGACACCCCCCCCCAAAAAATCCCTTGTTTTTTTTTCTCCCAGACAATGGTGCCTACCATGACTGAGGGAGGCAGACAGGATTGCAGCCCCCAGAGCCCAGTTTCTAAAGATGCTTAATAGGGGGGTTGCTCGAGTGGGGGTCACTTTGTCCTGAGAGAGCAAACTGCTCCCCACCCCACCCCCAATCCTAAAGAGAAAGAACAACCCTGCCTTCCTTCTAAGCCTCTTGCCATTCCCTGCGCAGGAGCCGTGCCTGAACGCAGCTGGGGCCAGTTTCTGGTGGCTCCGGGGAGAGCAGGAGGGTACCGCTGCAGCCTCTGGCCACGCTGGGGCCCAGGCACTGCTGAGCAAGGCCGAGGTGCGAGCGCAGAGGCCAGCCAGCCCTGGCCGGCACCAGCCGGTGAGTGCCTGGATTCAGGGGTGGTTTTTTGAAGGGTCCTGGTCAGTAAGGAGAGACAGCAAATTTAGACAGAGGGGAAAATGTGGAAAAAAGAGAGAGAAAAAACAAAAACTATAAATGGGAAAAAGGAAAGTTTGTTTTTAATCGATACACTAAGCTGAAATTTATGCATGCTGTGTTTGACTAGATGTGTATATCCTGATATCTTGTACACATATTTCAAGTCAACATTGAACCCAGTGTGCAAATGTGCTGTGCTCTATGCTATGTATAGAATATGTAATAAGTAAATCTGCCCAACCATAATATTGGATGTGCTTAAGCGTTCGCATGTAGAAGCTGGTGGTGTGTACGGGGATGCGTGAATAACCCCTATGAGTTATGTAGGTTTACACTTCTACTCATAAGAAGATCTATGACCCAAAAGCTCATGTGTACATTTTTTATAACCATCACACCCCCTATGAAAAGGGCAAAAACTTGAGTGCTTTTATAATTGAATTGTTACTCTAAAACATTAGCTGATTCGGAAGCTTCACTTGAAAATCCGCCTGTTGACTTAATATTGAAACAAAATGTATATTGTATTCTCAAACAAATGCATGTGACTTAAATTTAAATTCTTTTACAAATTCCTTCTAAAATATTTATCTGGAAGGTGAAGGAAATATCTCAAATTGTTTCCAGGGAGGTCATGAAATTTTGTGACATCTTTTGTCCCACCCAAAATCCTTTACTGCGTGCGTATCTTGCCTAAAGCTGCCGGGACAGTGTCGCGTGGCCCTCATTTCAGGGTGCTGAAGAGCACCAAGTGAAGGCACCATTACTTGTGCATGAGTGTGTTCCACGTAGAGTGAGTCTAACCAGTAGGCAAAGAGGAGTTTCATGTGAGAGCCCTCAGGTAACTGCGGAGGTCACACAAAAGCCCTGCTGTGGACAACGAAATTAGAAAAGTCCCCCAGTCTATGCCCCCAAGCACCCCAAGATATTTCTTCTGACCCAGGATCAGAGTCCAGACCTACTCTGGGGAAGGAGATGAAGACAAGTTGCTCCATGGGGGAAGAAATTGAGGTCCCCAGAACCTTCACCCTTTATACAGAACGACCTCCAAAACAAATCACATCGAATCTGCACACATGAATTCAAACCTCAGTGTTTCCACACCCTGCAAATGGGGATTTTAATTGTAAAGTAACGAAATCTTCTGCTCAACATCCCTTCCAAAATGTCCGAGATGAAAGGAAGGACTGAGAGGTCAGCGGCCCAGGCAGATCTCTGGAATCTCTTCTTACCAGCTCTCAGCCATCAGGGATCTGGAAGGTGGTGGGGGCGGCTGACTCCTTGGGAGGGAGCATCCAGGAGGCCAAACGGGGTGGGCGGCAGGCCGGAGGGAAAGGAGTTGAGCAGGTAGAAGGTTATTACGGAATTGCTTCCATAAAACCTGTGGCTGTTGTAAAACTCTCTGCTTTCCAAAGACTTTATTTCCTCCTTTCTCTCTAACATCCCCCTTTTTTTCTTTTTACAGCACTGTTCCTCGGAGGGGGGCCAAGGGACGCAAGGGATGGAAGAC